AAAAACAGTCGGTTATGTCTGTGAAGGTAAACTGCTGGGAAATAAATCGCATGTTTATTTTAGATCTAAATAGTGTTCTGTGCTGGTCTGTGCAGCCAAAGACAGAACAGTTAGCATGTTTTGCTCAAACTTTCGCCATGGCATTAGAGCTGGTACACCGTTGTCGCTTGCGAAAACACAATAACGGCGCCCTGAGTGGAAATTGACAGATTAAGGGGCGGTAATATTATAATGAGATCCCTTTGCAACGTCACCAAGGGAGCGAAATCAGACGCGCTAGTTTTCTCAGACAAGAAAAAGGCTTACCAAAACAAAGTTACTGGGTTAATCTTTTTCACGTTTCCTTAGTTGGTAGATGCACCAGGGCTTAAAACCTGGAAAAGTCAGATTTTCATGATATGTCACCTTTAAATGACAAAACAACCAAGTTTATGCATGTATGCACACACACACTTTAACTTGGTTGTTAAAGTGTGAAAAGAATCATTTCTTTACTTTTAAAGAAGTAAAAAAAAAAAAAGAATCATTGTCTTTATTGTAACTAATACTGATTTTGTAATAAATTGATTTTAATAAAAAATTAATAAACTTAAAAATTAGAAATGTTTCCTTGGCAACTAAATAAATTTACATTAAAATACTAAAATGAATGAAACTGAAATCAAAAATAATTTAAAGCTAAATAAAAAAATATAAAATTAATAAAAAAAATAAAAATAAAAGCACATAACAAAATTACAAATACATAAACTAAAATTAAAATACAAAATATAAAAAACTAATTCAAAATATTAATAAATTCTGTAATATTTAAATAATACTAAAATTACATTGACAAGGATGTATCAGACTTTCAGATATTTTATCTAGTTAAGTTCAGACATTTAACCTATTAATTAGGCCTTGATTTTTTTTAACACATTGGCAAGATAATCATAATAGCCTAAATAATGCATAGTAACCCTTCCTCCAGTAAAAAAGTCCATCCTTTTTTGTCCTCTCACATCAAAATCCACCGATATATTTGTTTAGAATTGTTTTTGTTTGTAAACGGTGCTTGCTCTGTGCATATTTCTCTCCCGATTCAACTTTTTCACAGGAGAAAGCAATATTATGGACAGAGGACTCGTATTTTAGCTGGAAGCAATGGTTTGAGATGGATTTGTTTCTTACAACACACAGCTTTCGCTTCACAAGACATTAATAGAGTCATGTGGATTACTTGTGAATAATTGCTATGTTTTTATCAGCTGTTTGGACTCCCATTCTGACGGCACCCATTCACTGCAGAGTGAATTTACTGGTGCACAAAGTGATGTAGTGCTACATTTCTCCAAATCTGTTCCCATAAACAAATAAACTCATCTTGGATGGCCTGAGGATGAGTAAAAAAATTTGTGAACTATTCCTTTAAGTCTTACTTAAAATATGTGAATGTCACTGGATTAGATATTAAAATATCAAACCAAAATGCATCTGCACAAATGCTGTGTTTTTGCTCTTCATTTTGAACAGCATCTATTTTTATCATTCATCATACACATAATTGTTGTGAAATATTTTACTTGGAAAGTGTCTATTTGTTGAAAAATAAATGCCATTTGATTTGATAATTTGTTATGCACCAAAATGAAATTCATTTCAAGTGTGCAAATACTTTTTGGAACTACTGTAGATGCAAATCTGTAGCAAAAAACCCACCACAGCGCATTAATTAGCAAATGAAACATGTAAACGAATATGCTTATTTATTAATGGAGTTAAAAGACAATGTTATAGAGTTTAATATAGAGGTTAATATGAGCAAATGAATATGATTTTTTTTTCATTATTATTTATTTAAAAACAGAAAAGAAAAATGGAAACAAAAAGAAAGGAAAAAAATTTCAAAAAGAAAAAAATACAGAAAAAGAAAAAGGAAGGAAGGAAGGAAGGAAGGAAGGAAAGAAGGAAGAAAGGTAGAAAGAAAGAAAGAAAGAAAGAAAGAGAAAAGCGATACCTAAACCACAGTATATTAAACTTCAGGGGGGAGGGGAAATAATAATAATAATAATAATAAATTGTACAAAATAAATAAATAGATCAATTGAAAACTATGTTGCTCTGTTTTAGAATGATCTCACATTCCTCTGCTTTAGATCAGCATAACAGACTGAGCAATAATCATGTGTCTGCTTTAGACTAAACGCTTCTGCTGCTGTCAGTGGAGAAAATTTGACAATTCACTCCTAATGTTTCATTTAAGAAATAAACATCAAAGAGCAATAAATTACATCTGAGCATGTGCGGACATATCATTTAAGAGACATCCCACTCTTTCACTGGCTTATTCACTTACAAATTAATTGATGATGTAAATAAAATCATTATTTCAGTTTCCATCCTCACATTTCTTTCTTGAATATATGTGTGTGGGGGGGGAAAGCCAAGATATACAGAAGATCTACAACAGAATTAAATAATCTCTCAAGCCATTAAACCAAAAATATGATGAAGAAAATCATCTTGATACTGTTTGTTTAGATAAAAAGTGTTGTTATAGATGTGTCTGACTGCACTGACCAGGTCTGTGTCTCTTTCCAGCGTCGGCAGCAGAGGAGACGCCAGGTTTGCGGGCTCCGCTCTTCCCCGCAGTGCCTCCTGGGTAATGGAAGATGACAGACGCAGAACACAAGCCCTCCAAAGCAGCTGAGGAACAACACACAAACCATTTCACTGTTACTATTCATCACTGGACAGTTGATCTGTCATGCAGGTTTTAAAGCAAGATGCATTTGGGCAAAGACTGAAGATGTCAGTTGCTTGGAGGTGAAGAGTTGGAGATTGTGATGAAAGTTGACTGGATTGGTTAGCTTAGTTAGCTGGTCAGCACATGAGTTTAAAAAATGGATATTGAGTGATTTTATCACACCAGGATTATTATAGTAACTAAGGGCCAGTTTTACTAACAGCTTGCGCCAGCGCAAAACGTCTTTTGGCGTTAAAATTGTACTGTCAGTTTTTACTAAAGACGCGCAGTAACGAATTAGTGCTGAAAAGGCGTGGACAGTTATTTTTGCGCCTGACCTTACTGAATATGCATTTATAGGAGTGTCCCTTTCAGACACAAAATTTATAGGAGGAGAGTATTCAAATGAATCACGCAATGCGTTTTACTAATGTTTGCGCTCATCAAATTACTAGCATTTGCGCCATTATTTAACGCCCAAAAAAAGCAAGTCTTAAACTATTTTGCGATTGAAATGGCTGCAATTATTGTTGCTCGGAGGAGGCACCGCAGAGAACAGAGAGTGTGTGGTAGAAGGGAGAGGATTTTTTTCTACATGTAGCCTATTAATTTATTTGGAATGCCAGAAGAACACATTATCCGAACATATCATTTGCCTAGCCATGCTATTTTTAATTTGCTTCAGGAAATAAAAGACAACTTGGAACCCTCAAAACTTCTAGCAAACCTTCATTTTTTTGGCCTCCAGTTCTTTTCAACGTAGCATACTGTGGCTTAATTATTTCTTTATTTGCGACTACGCTGATTTGCGCTGCGCTTGTTATATTGCGTTGGTCGATATGTAAATGAGATGTTGCGTCTGTGTTCTTTAATTTGCGTGTTGTTAGTAAATCACCCGCATAAATTTCCACGCCCATCGGCACTGTTTTGGAATTGCGCTCTCGCGCTAATTTGCCCTGTTTACTAAAACTGGCCCTAAAAGTACTAAAACTTGTTGACTGAAAATTTTAATAAAATAAAATACAAAGTTTTTAACATCTCATTTTCTTTTATTTTAACTTGATGTTCTAAAATAACTCAAATAAAAATTAAACTACAGTTTTTTTTGTTTTGTTTTTTAAATGTACAAAAATATACTAAAACTTTAGACTTCAAATGAAAACCGAAAATATAAAAAAAGAAATGAATAAAATATTAACAGAAACTATAATAGTATTGATTGATACTATAAGTTTTTTAACTAAGATTAGGTTTATTTTTGTATATATTTCCTATTTCAGCTATTAACATTTCTGATTTATTTAGTTTAATAACTAAATTAATTAATAATATAAATTACAAATAAAAAATAAAATATTCATCAATTATTATTACAATACTACAAAAAATACTACATTTTATAAAAACAACAAAACTAAAACTTGTATTTAAATGAAAATATAAAAAACTATTTTAACATATTAATAAAAACTATAAAAGTATCACAATGATTAGGGCAAATAATCGACAATTATGATTTTTGTCATAATCGTGCAGCCCTAACAATGATACTAAAATAACACTGACTTGGTGTGAAAGTATATCTGTGAAACGTTTATCAATCAATCACCATCTTACCTCCCAGCCACAGGAAGTCATTGACAGACCGCAGCAGCTCTACAGCCATGTGATAATGTACGAGGGCATCCTGCAGCATGCCTGCCTGCAAACACAGATCCCCGACGTGCTTTCTCATGCGGCCCTGACAGCGTTTCTTGTAGTGCCTGAGGAAGAGGAGCAGCAACAGGCGTCAGATAAACATTCAGCATTTACGCACAGAGCTTAATCGATGCAAGACGAGCTCGCAGCCAAGTGCAGGTGACGTCAGCCATATTTAATTAAAGTTATTTTTATCAGCGGTGGATCGATGTCGTCTCATTTGGCTCTCCTTATATGGAACACAAATATGCTGATGTGGTTTTGCATCAAGCTTGGTCTTCTGTCTTAGCCCAGGATTTACAGACAGAGAGAGGGAAGCTGGAGGTGAAGATACGGATGCAGAAGGAAGGGGATGCACAGGCAAAACTGGGAGGGGGGGATTTTAACTAAAGGGGACATAAAGCAACTTGAGGTCAATCCCATGGGGATGAAAAAACTAAATAAATTTTTTAAAATGAGGGATTTCTATTTTATAAACATGAGGAGGTAAAACTCTGGTGGAAGGACCCCTACATAGATAGTGTGCAAGAGGGTCAAGTGTTATTCAAGTGAGAACCAGACAGGAGATAAACAGGAGAATATTCTTCATCTTAACTTTTTCTTAAAGTTTACACTTTTACATAGAGAGGATGTATCAGTAAACATATAAATACTTTATATGATCAGCAACAGTCTAATGATTAAACCAATATTGAAAGACTTTTTTTTTTTTGCCCAATTCAAGCATAATATTTTTTGACAGATACAAATACACTAAACTATCATCTTTAAATGTTTCAATGCTATATTGGAGGGAAAAAAAGATTTATAATATTGATAATAACATAAAATATGCACCAAATAAGTCAAATTAAATAAGTAAAATAAGTTTTTAAAAAATCAGCAATTACATATACAATAATACAATAATAATATTTATTATTTATATAAATATTGAATATTTATACAATAATAGTATTTACATCATTTTATCATATATTTAAATCATTTTATATACTGTATATATATATAGAGAGAGAGAGAAACATAGAAAAAAATCAAAATACAGTATTTACTTGTGTATAAAAGTAATAATATTACATAACATATATATAGATAATTACTAAGATTATTATTTTAATAATCAATTAGTCTAAACCTACACTATAGACCTCAAACATAGTTATACAACTTTGCCAAAAATAAATAAATCAATACTTTTTATATATTACTATATGCATTAAAAACTAAAATATATTTAAAACTAGAATTAATAGTATTGCTTTATATAAATAAATATAATCTTTATAAACATATAATCTATTCATTATATATTATATTATACATTATATATACTATATTTATATTATATATTTAACTTCCGATCAAGAACTTCACAACTAAACTCAGAGAGTGTTTTCTATAGACGCATGGATGTCATATTCAAATTCATGCTGCGACCGTAGATGAGATGAGCATAAAGCTTTGCGAGCAATCACTCATGAATTACTGAATGACATCCATGCATTTCTGCAGTTAAAACAGACAGAGATAGTGAATAAGAAATGCAGTATGCTTGATTAAACACTTGACCCTTTCAGGCACCAGAACCCAAAGAATTGTTCCCATATTTCCAACACGGATTCAAAATATTCTCACCATAAAGGTGAAGTGTGTCAATTATGCATAACCAAACAGAACTGCAAAACAGTAAAAATCTACCATTAGTCAAGCAAACAGGAAGTCTGCCACTGGTTTATTCTAAAGCTGATAATTCGCTCAAAAAAAAAAAGACACACTTCACCTTTAAACAATTGACTCGAAGACGACATGAGGACACAAAGTTTCAAAATCTTTTTCCGTTCCTGCACATTGACTTTCATCTCAAACATTTGACCTTTCTACTCTAAACTGAGACACAAGAGAATCGAGGTCCAACCACTGTGTCACTGACGGGGAGAGGAAGAGGCTGATCAGGTAAGAATGAACTAAACCGGCTCACCGTTTCACACCCAATAATAAACTCACAGGACAGTATGAAAGAAAAGAAGAAAGACAAATAAAACAAGGCAAAACAAGAGAAGGGAAGAAAAAACAACAACCATGAAAAACAAATGGCAAAACTCATGAAAAAGGATAGAAGATCATGCACGGTTGACCTACAAGCAAAACCATCATATACTGTGGGACTCCTGGGCATTCAGTATTTACCACAGTCGATTCAGACTTCAGTTCAGATGAATTACGATCTGCAGATGAACTGCAGCGGGTTTGTGGGTTGAAAAAAGCAAATAACTTCTCAAATCATAAAAATTTCAAATACATTAATTCAAAATAAAACACTTATAACAATATATAAAATGCATAATTTGTTTTTATTCTTTTACCTATTCATTTATTGGACTATATTATAAATATATAAACATTTTATTTATGTACTTGTATGCTAAAAATGCAAAAACATAAATATAAATAAATGTGGATATATACTATATATAAAATATCTAAAAAATATATTATTTTATTTGTTTATTTGAATGTGATGTTGGATACTGGCCACATGAATGATATATGAACATGCTAATTTATTGTTAAATTATTACTATAAAAATGTAAATTAATTAATTCAAAATAACATGCTTAAAAAATACATAAATCAAAATATTTTATTATTGAGATGTTATATATATATAAACATTTATATATCTCAGGAGAAACTTCAAGTAAATATTTTAGGGTTTCGGCTGACAAAAAGTTTGGAAATCCATTGTCTAAATAAAAATAACAAAAAATAAAACAATAAAAACTAAAATCAGTCAGTATAAATGCTACAAATAAATTTAGGCATCACAACATTATAATGTACAGTATGAAAAATACATACATTAAGAAATTTTCAAAAGATTACATTTAGTAGTGGTAATAAAATATTAAGGTCATTCAATATTTCTAAATCAACCAAATTTCAGAAATTTCCCCGGCTCAAATTTTTGATTTTGCTAATATTTTTTCTGAAGAAAGATAAACATGTATAGTGATGATAGCCCAAATATTAAATGTCATGGATGAATATTTACTGAGTAATACTCTATTTTGTAGAGGGGGGTCAAAATGGCAATTTTCACCTGAGATTCAGAGCCAAATTACAGGAGGTTAAAAATTACTTCAGAAAGATTGCAGCATCATAATGTTAATGTTAATAATGTTAATGTTAATGACATTTAATATTTTAGCTTTCATCACTATACCCGTCTGTCTTTCTTCAGAAAAAATATTAGCAAAATCAAAAATTTAAGCCGGGGACCTCTGGTTGAGTTGACACGGAATGACCCAATAGCGTTTATCAAGAATAACTTTAAGTTAGTATTCGATGATAGTAAAGGTAATCTAAAATGGAAAAATACAGAAAAATAGCATGTACAACAAGCAAATAGCTGGCTAATATATCCAAATATCAAACACTAAATGTAAAAAATATATTTAATATCAGCTGATAATAACCGATATAGTACCTCTATATCATGCATCCCGAATAATGATGCTTGCCTTAGCAAGATATTAATTAAGTGTTAACTGAAGTTTCATGAGCCACCCTTTTCTAGATACAGACATATAGGCAATGGGTTTTCCAATAACCGATTAATCTGGCTGCCGATAAAGATTAACATATTCTCAGAGCCCAAACTCACCTGCTGTCTGTGTCCAAGCCCACAAAGTCCTTCTTCTCAAACGGCACACACAGCAGTTGTATCTTATCGCCAGATTTATCGGTTGCTCTGTCCAGCCTTTTCGACTCCAGGACGATAAATATAGACTCCACGAAATCCTCCACCCGCTTCTCCACATCAGGACAGTCGTCGTAGCTGGGGTAGAATGCCACATCTGTCCGCTGCTGTTCCGCCACCTCCCCCTGCAGCCCGAACACCAGCAGCCGCGAGTCGTACAGCGTGGAGCCGAACACCTCCTTCTGCCCGTGGAACCGATCGGACGTCTGCGGCCACTCTTTGGTCGTGGTGCAGCTGGTCACTGAGATGAGACCCACCACTTTGCGGTGGGTCTGAAAGTCGCCCCACTCGTTGTTCTCAGGGGGGTAATGGTGGCGGTATCGGATGAAGAGGACGCGCTGGGAGTCCTGTATGCTGACCTGGCTCACGCTGGCAATGCGTTTGTAGATGCGGAAGAACTGGTCCTCTGGGACGATGCCCATGGGCTGGACCACTACCAGGACCATCTGATGGTCCTCAGCACACTGCATGTAGTCTGGGACACTCATGTCTGCATACAGCACCTCTAGAGAAGGAAAACAATACACAAAACAACATACTGTTTTATTACAGCAGGTTTCAAAGGGGTTAAAGGGTTAGTTCACCCAAAAATTTAAATTAGCCTGTGTTTTACTCACCCTCAAAGCATCCTAGGTGTATGTGACTTTCTTCTTTCAGACGAATCCAATCGGAGTTATATTAAAAATCGTCCTGGCCCCTCCAAGCCTTTCAATGGGGGTAAGCGGGTGTTGGTTGTCAACAGTTCAGAAGACGTGAAATAAAGTGCACGCATCCGTAATAAAACGTCCCTCACACGGCTCCGGGGGGTGAATAAAGGCCTCCTGTAGCAAATCCATGCATTTTTGTAAAATAAATATCAATTTTTCAAACGTAATAAACACTCTTTTCTCACTTCCGCTGACTGAGTAGCCCAATTCCGCGGGAAAACCGCGGACTTGGCAACACTGCGCGGAAGTCGTGCAGGCGGATGACGTAGGATGTAGGCGTCATGCGCGCACCTCTGAGACATGCAGGAGCCAAGGAAACCAAGTTTCCTTACTTTAGCAAAGGAAAACTAGTCTCCTCTTGGCTTATA